CTAATCCATGCTTCATTAGCGTAACCCACTTTGGCATCTATGTAGGTTGGCTACAGGTTCCCCCAGTGGACCAGAGGTTGCCGGCACTTCATGTCATTAGATACCCTTTTAGGTCAACTTTGCACTGTCAAGGGCCTATGTTTCAGGATCTGAGAAGACGCCTGTGTGTTTCAGAGCTTAATCAAGCCTTAATCCAATAAAAGGGATAATCTAAAATGTACTCTTTGACCTATAACAGTTAGTTTGGTCATTTGACTATCTTAAATAAATTGACACATTACAATGCCCATTCTAGTTTACAAATACAAAAAGTTACATTCAGGTTATAAACTGAAACCATTAAAATCAGCAATTCAAAAGTTGCAGTTCTTACAATATGAAGACTCTTCCACTCTGCACATACATATAAGAATGAAGGTTCAATTCCAAATAAAGTGTCATAAACATATATTACTGAGAGGGAAATTCTGGACCATTGATTGTCTGATGCAGACCTCCAAACTTAATGGAAATTCTGTTGTGCTCATTTACAAAAATTATTTGAAACTACGGAGGGTATTTTTGAGAGGAGCAAGAGGGAAGTATGTAGAGATAACAACAACATATAGGATACAAACTTGTAAAGTTTCAACTTCTAAGATTCTTGTGAACTACATTTCGGTATCCTTGTTCCAAAACCTTTTAAATATTTTTCTGGAGTGGAAAAATTGATACATCTTTTCACAACACAAAAATGAGTGAAGACTAATCATGGAAAATATCAGCCAAAGAACCCCCAAAAGAACATGTGAATACAAGGGATTATAACAGTTGCCCAAATATAACCATAGCTTTACTAATTGACAAATGTATAATGTAACTCCATAATATTTTTTTTTAACTATCAAGATATAATTTCATTGATTGTTTCTGAATGGCTTGTGTCACAGTAACTGGGCTAGCTTAATCATGTCCCCTTTCTGGTCTCTCTGTGTGTGCCCTCTTAGATATCCCATGCCTTTACTTATCTTGGGATGGAATTTTGCAATTCTCCCGTTCTTAGGCCATGTCTACACTTACCGGGGATCGACGCTGCTGCAATCGATGTAGCAGGGGTCGATTTAGCAGTTCTAGTGAGGACTTGCTAAATCAACTGCAGAGCACTCTCCGGCTGAGTAAGGTAGAGAGGAGTAAGGTAAGTTGACGGGAGAGCGTCTCGCGTCAACGCAGCGCAGTGTAGACACCTCAGTAAGTCGATCTAAGCTATGTCAATGCCAGCTACGTGACCAATGGAATACAGTGACTGGACTGTCTTCTCAAAACCCAAGTATTGTTTGTTTGGGCAATAGGAAAAAGGATGTAGGAAAAAACGGTATTTTAAAACAGCAGTCTGCATGCATGTCTGTCTTATCTAAAGGGTTACCATCCCCTGATGGTAGCATAGCATGCCTATCTCATTTATGCTAGAGCTGGGTGAATTTTTTTCAGCTGAGTCTTTTTTCAGCACAAATGCAAAATTTGATGATCCCTACACTTTTTGTGACTTTGTGCCTGTTTTGCCCAAATGTATTTGCTGAAAAAACAGACTAAAACAAAACTGATTCCCCCCCCCCCATGTCATACTGTTCATTTTGACATTTTTGAAATTGCCAGTGAACCAAGTAATTCACACCACTATACTTCAAGCACCCTCAGCAGGTGCCTGTTTCTCATTCTGGTTTCCCCCAAGCAACTACCTCCTCTCCTGAGAAGGCCTCTCTTTTAAGCTACCCATGTTCTTGTGTGTTTGCTGGCCTTTTCCTGTCCTGGTTTAAATAGTTTTGTAGGTTGGCTGGAGAAGGAGATAGAATCTTCAAATCTAATAGTTTGGGCATTTTCTCCTAAGAACCCTAAAGTGCTTACCTACGGGTGATCTATCAGAAGCCATTTTTACTCTTTCCCTTCATGTTTGTTCACCCCCCCCCAGACTATCCTCTGTTAAGTTAACCCAATAAATTCACACATAAATATCCCCTAAAACAGATCTTTATATGGCATTCATAACATATTACCGAACAGCTCCAAATCTATCTCAGCTAGACAGGACAAACTGAGGATATAATTATTTTTGCATATTCATTTTATTTTATATGTGGTGTTTGCATATTTATATTTATAAACATGTTTATATTTTTGTTTGATAATTTGAAAAAAGTTGGTCATATTCAAAAATGAAATGAGTATGCCACATTGGGGCCAATATGACTTTCAATAGTCTGCTTCTTGTAAATTTCAGAAACGTGAATGTATAGTTATAGAGATGGAAATATGACTGTGTGTTATTTACACCCACAGACACACACATGATACAGATGTGTGTTTCTATTAGAAACAATTCCAGACCCATTTGTTGTACTGTGCTAACTGCATGGCTACTCTGTGTCCCTAGAGTCATGTACAAAATATGTATAGTGGTATTCTTACAAGATTCATATAAACTCGGGGTAAAAGCTTCCATGCTCCATTAAATTTAGTGCCTTTGAAAAGGGCCCCCTCTTGGCCTTGTAGCCCTGTAAGTCTGACTTCTCCCTGGCACAAACTTTGGCTATTAGCTACCATTTTTACTTTGAAAAATAAAAGGACTGTGTAGACTATTTATCTACTTACGTAATTAAAATAGAACATAAACTGCTGTCACAGATTCCTTGTTAAATATAAAAGGCATTTTATATGTAACTTATTTCAAAATAAGATTATGAATAGATTCTCTGTTCTCAAACAGAGAATCTATTCATAATCTTATTTTGAAATAAGTTACATATAAATTTCATGTAAATCATAAGATTTCCTTATGAAATGGCCCTGAGCTATAAATTCAAAGGACTTCCCTGGTTTAAAGCAGCATTACATTTTGGCGCACCAAACAGCACAAGTAAAGTAGTTCTGTGTGGTTTGCAAATGAACATACAGCACAGTGTGAGGAAGAGAAATGAATGAGATACATGCATTTTTTACTGTGCCTTAGCTGTAATGCAAGTCCTGCATCAGGATGCTATACATTTGTTAGGATCATGGCTTTCTATGTATCCTTTATCAACCTATAATCTCCTGATTGTTGCCTGTTTTTCAACAGCTGAGGAACAGTAATCCACACTTGCTTATCTCTCTTAATCACAGCCTCACAGTTCTAGGACTCCCTGAGCCTTTAATTCCCTTTTACAGGCATAACAGAGTGGAAAGTAAACAAAGACAAATTTGCAACCTTCAACATTGCTAATTTGCTCTGATGTCAGAATATTTAAACAGGCAAGGATTTGGGAATTATTTGATCAAGGCTGCTTTTAATCTAATGCATGTGAAAAGGCTGAGTCTGGGAAGGTTCTGCAAAATGACAGGCATCCCAAGAGAGGCTTTCTGAAGGTTTCCTCTTTCAGCAGCAGTAGCTTCATCATTTAGAACTCTGTGGTTGCTGTGGTGTAAGAATGCATTCATATAGTGGGTTTTTTTTGGTGGTGGGTTTTTTTTTTTTTTTTTTTTTTTTTGGTGTGTGACAATCACTCTTCTGAGAACATCTCTTTTGCCTTTCAGTTTGTTGAGAACTAGGCCAACAGGCTTGTTATTGTTTCAGTTCAGTAGGGGATGAGTTTTGTTTAAAAAGACCCCTACTGAACAAGAAATAAAAGCTTTGTCACTTTCCACACTTCCCTGTATCCCTGACAGTCTGTAAATTTTAGATCAAAAGTCTTCAGTATAATTTAATTTCCTCTTTACAAACTCATAGGTAACTGGGTCTTCAAAGTACTTTGAATTACTTACAGTTTACATTTTGTGCATGTACACGTGTATGAATATCTATGTATATGCATGCTGAGTAGAGGGAAGAGGGGTGTGTGCGCGCACATGTGCATGCGTAAATATACATTTCGATCATGTGCATGTGTAAGATGTTTCTCCCACTCTCCCCGTATGTATGTATTAACAAAAAGAAAAACAGATGGCCAGCTATAATTAAAATCTAATTCTGCAATTTAGTTTTTTCAGATGATAGATTTATAAGAACTTCATTGCTAATTGTTTTTAGATGTGCAGATATGTGGTTTATTAAATTGTCAATAATTTTTAATTATCAGCTTCTGTGATTTCTTATCTGTCTCTCTCAGGCACATTAAACTCAGATACCACAAGGATAGGCCTGTTATAACCACCTACGTGTACTCCGTTTACATTCTTTCAACAGGCTGCTTTATGTTATTACCTGAAACAGGTTCATTTGAATAATATGCAGTAAAAAGGTTTTCATTGTTTCCTGAGGTCTCTCTTTGTGAGGTTTCCATTTGGTGCATGTATAATCATTTATAAATATTTTGATTTTTGATAAACATATCATATATATTTTTACCAAAATAAAATATGGCTCAAGTTGTATATTCTGAACTGCATCTATATCAATGCAGTTAATTTAAATAAAAAATCCAGCATAGATTTTAAGTTTAGAAAATCATTGATTTTTAAGAGCTGTTACTTGTTTCTCAAGTGTGCCTGATGGTTTTTTATTAGTATGTGTCCTTGTGATATTCCAGACAGAGGTGTGCAGAAGGCAGCATTTTGCAGTTGCTATATGCAGTGCTATTACAGCATTGGGTTGTTTGTGTTTCACCTCCTCTCTCTCTCACTCTCTCCAGCTGGTGTAAATGACTGCTGCTGCCTCCCAGACCAAGATAACCTGCTCAGTCAGCTGGAGCCCCCTGTGGACAGCTGTCTCTCTCAGCTGATGGAAAACTGCTACTAACCACTGAATGGAAGAGAGTGGAGCAACAACCACAGTAGTAGCTGCAGCAGTAGCAGTAATAGCAGCAGCAACCGAGGTCTCTATTGTTCCTTGGTGTTAAACAGTTTTTCCTTTTCAGCTGACATGCACAATAGCTGGGAAGAGGTTTCCATTCTGCCCTCTCTATGAAGAAATTCTGAAGGGGAGAAAATTACTCAAACAAGGGTTACCCTTTGTGCTGCAGATTTTGACACTGAAGCAGCCTTCTGAAGGCATGGGGGTGAGAGAGGGAGGCACAGTTTTATCCGGTGGTCCAGGGGCTTCTGCTGTTTCAATCCGGTGTGTTGGAGTTCTTGTGGTTCTTCTGTTTGGAATCTGGGAAGCTAAAGCACAAAGTGAATTTGAAACTTCTTCTGTATATTTGTGGAAGACTGGTAAGTAAGGAAGCATGTCACATTAATATATTTTTATCACCTTTATTTCCAATTGTGAATGTTACTATCTTATCCATGTTCCCAATATTTTTCTTATGGTAGAAAATCAGTTTGTACCATTTATTGATGGACAGATGTCTGGGAAAACAAATTAGGTCATCTTTCAGGGTTCTGTTAAAAGGAATGTGACAATTTTTTTAAAAAGTGGATCTTTGCACTCGTGGCTATTTTAAAGCTCTGTATTGTATGTCAATAGAGTAGAACAGTACAGAACCGCACTTTCATAATGGAAGGTAAAAATTACAGGAAGATTCAGCAGCGTTAACAGGGTGCTAAAAATATTGATGTTTCACAAAGAAAGATGTAGTTCAGCATGTGTATTCATGTATGCTTTATACTGACATGTAATGTATTCAGTGTGGTAATTGATGAGGAGTTGGGTTTGTTACATTTAGGTTTATATAGGACACATGAAAGCTAATGATGGATTAGGTGAAATAATCCAAGTGATGCCAGATCTCATAACCAAAGAGCCAAAGGCAAATAGGCTATGTGGATTCAGAATCACACCAGACAGATTATTTCCTCTACTGGTACTAATGAGTTACGTGTCTGTTTTAAAGATTGCATAGTCATAACTATGCTCATGCTCAACTTTTCATTAAAAATGAATGTTTTTTGTTAATGTACTGCATAAATCCACAACACTAACAATGACTAGTTCTCACTAACTAGTCATATATTAGCACATTTTAGCACTTGAATATAACCTACTTCCTATTTTAGTAAACATAAAACTTAAAATATTTATTGTCTTGAAGTGATCAGGAGATGGGTCTTTTTTGTATAGTGCCAGGAACAAACCATCCATAAAGTACCATGATTCTTTCAGAAATGCTTTCTCATTAATAGGAAAATACTGTGGCTAGAGAAAATGAATATTAATCATTTGACTGAAAAACAAGTTCGATGAGACTGGGTCTTTTTCCTGGATGAAGAGCGCCCCTGGCCTTCTGCCACAGAGACAGATCAATTTACAGTTACACTGATATCCTGAATGTTTTAAGAGGCTGCATCTATCCAGCAGTTCAAGGAGGAGATTAAAGGGAAATTCATTTATACTGGAAGACGAGATCTCCAATAATACTAAAAGAGAGAGATTTGAAGGGGGGAAAATCCTTTGATACTGAAAGATAGGTTATTACTGTTGTTATGCCATCAAACTCATGAAGCATTATTTTTTTAATTGACGCATTGACAGATTCAGAAGATTGTCTGCTATCCAATTAAAGTCAGAGGTTTTGTTCTTCTAGGGGTTTTTTTTTTTAAGTGCACAGAACACCTATCCAAAAGCATAAAACAAATGCTTTCTTTTGTTTGTTTTTTGTTGTTGTTGTTTTGCAAAACCACATCAGAGGTTTTCTACAAAGCAGATCATATTTGATTAAACTAATTGAAAGCAATCTGTAGAATATATTGTGTAGCATTTTATTATCTCTCCCCTTAGTATGCCAGTCCTTTAATTTAATAGCTGGTATTTAAAGCAGTTTAAAAAATAGCAGACTGAAGATAGCAACAACTGTATTTAACAAATTGGTGATATGATTTTGTAATCACAAAGGATAGTTAATTGCAATTAGATAAGGAATAACTCCATTTATTTTTGCATACAGTACATGTGCTTTACTATTGTTTCGCTCAGTCAGCAGAGAGGAAATAATATTTTCTGACACAATTCTTTAAAAGCACATTCAAAAGCAGCATTAAAACCACAAGAACTTTTGTTCTAGGCAAGTGTGTGAGAAATTGCGATCATAGTATCTCATGAAAAGTTTAAGTCTTGCGCTTATGTTTTGCCCCACTCTAGTCTTCCCTTCAAATAACTTTACTTTGCACACATTCATGAACAGGGTAAAAGGTGGTAGCTTTATTTTTAATAATGTAACACCGATAATATAACACTAAAATAAAATGGGAAAATCACGACCTTGCCAATTCCAAGCAATATGCAGCAGGATTCAGTGGATAAGACTGTAGTACTGAGAGTCAGGAGAACTGGATTTTATTCTCAGTTGGTTTCCTGTCTGATATTGCTCTCTTGACTCTTTTTGTCTTGTTTCTCCTTGTGTGAAAAGGAGGGGGGGGAAATGGGGATAGTGGTACACTCTGTAAAGTGCTTTGAGATCTGTAGATGAAAGGCACTGCATATTTTTCTTCTTACCCAGGGGAACAGGTGGTTGATGGCCTGGTGAATCTTAGGGGCCTCCATGCAGAAACAGAGTCAAATCTTTCAAATTGTGTCTATTTCCTTTCAGCCTGATTTGGACCTGTCTAGTTGCTTTCATAAGTGTAGCTATATTTCTGGAGATGTGAATAGCCATGACTTCTCTGGCTGAATTTAGGCCAGTTTTATTCTATAAAGCACTGAAGGCTCTCAGGGAAACTTTCTTGTGACATGTAAGAGGACCTTTGCTCCACATGACCAGTATAGTCAGGTGAGGAGGAATTGGGTTCACTGTTGGTTGAGATTGTCCAAACTCCCTGTGGGGGGAGTTGTGCCATTATCAGCCTAAAACCCCAGATCAACAAAATATTTCCTGGTACTGGCAGACTTGCCAGTTATTGCCCCATTTCTAATCTTTTTCCCTTTGTGGAGGAGATTATTGAAAAACAATATGATAGCAATGCACATATGGAACATACTAGAATCCTCACATCCTACATGCTTTTCAGTTGGGTTTTTTGACTTGAGCTTGGCAAGGACAGGCTGCCCATCTTTTCCTAGTAAATACATAGTTCAGATAACTATGCTGATTCTGCTACAACTGTGAGCAGGTTTTGATACCAATGGCCATGATGCTTTCTGAACACAGTGAGGTAGATGGTATTCCTCTGGAGTGGTTCTATTATTTCTTCTTGGAGAGGTCTCAGATGGTGGGAAACAGCAGCCGCCCTTCTGTCCTAAGGGATCTCTAGTATGAGGTGCTATAAAGATTTGTTTCAATACCCCTCCTATTGAAACTGACTGTATTACCATTTGAAGAGATAATAAAACTAATATGGACAGTGGTGACTTCAGAGAGCTTGCTTTCATCAGATCCAGATGGTCTGTGTCTTAGCTTTCCCAGTGCCTGACTCAGATTGGAATGTGGATGAAAGCAAGCTGCCTGGATCTTAATTGGATAAGACAACGATGAAACTAGCAGATAGGAAGCCAGACCTCCTGAGGTCTCTTCCAACCCTAATCTTCTATGATTCTGTGATCTGGAGTGTATTGTTGGTGGGGATTTTGACATCCATTATTGGGAGCGGTTTGTCCACTCTACATCCAACAAGTTTGCTACTTTGGGGAGCTTTGCACTCCTGAAGATTCATTTGGCATCAGCAGCTAAAGATGCTTTTATCATTTATTTATTTGGACAGTTGAGACTTTGTCTCTCTCTGATCCAACCTTTTTTGGCTTCTAGATTGATTTATTGGAATGTGCCCTACATAGGGATGCACTTGAAGACCACTCAAAAGATAGTTCTTGCGGAATGTGGCAGTCTGCCTGTTAGCTAGTATTAGCTGAGACAACATATTGCACTAGTTTTTCAGTAGCTGCTTTGGCTTTCTATTCTTTTTCAATTGTAGTTCAAGGTATTCATGGCCTATAAACCCCAAGTGGGACCTGTTTATTTGAGAGAATGGCTCTTTCTCTGTGCACCATCACAACAAATGAGGCCTGTTGTTCTTTGATTTAATTGTCTGTGGGCAGCTGTTAGTGCTCTCAGTTGTCAATTTTAACTTTCTGCTTGTGAAACACTGTCTGAGTTTTACCTTCAGGGCACGGTGAAAATTTTCATTTTCTGTTTCAGGCTTTCACCAGATACGGGGTAGATGGGTTGGTGGATGTTTGGTTTTGGGTTTGCCATTTTATATATAAATACTATTTTTAAAAGGGTTCTGTAATAGAACCTGTGTATTTAATGCAGTTATTAAAGATTTGGAGAAAAAAGGGGATAACAAAGTCTGCTGATGAATAAAGATGGACTCGAATTTTCATGTTCGGATTCAGCTCTAACCTTGTCCAAAGTTGTGGGATATTCAGATCTGGGGTTTTGGTTTGTCCTATTCTGAGATGGGGACCAGATGATGAATGTGGAATGAAATCCAAATTAGCACAAAATTCAGGGATGCTCAGCTACCTAAGACATGAAGTTGTTTCATTTAGTAACAGTTATGCAAGATTATTGGGAAATCCAGATAGACATACACACATTGGATAACATAGTGAAAAAAGAAAATCACAGGTAGTAATGTATATTGGAAAAATATAGTCAACCTGACTCGGGCATGGTGATGAGCTTTGAATGACTGGGGAATAGGATCCATGGAGAACTTAGCCCTTTGAAGTAGCTGTGAAGATGACTGTTCACCGAAAGATATAGCTGAAATTGAAAGATCCAGAGAAAAGGTAACAAAGATGTTTAGTACCCTGGTGGAACATTATATGAGATAAAGGAGTGTAAAAACTAGGATTATAAAGGGAAATAGAAGAGGTGCTCAAAATTAAGAAGGGTATAGTGAAAAATGATCAACTTCTCCATTTTCTCAGAATATTTCTATGACCAGTTGTTTTCATAGTTGTAGCTATGCAGACTAAGGATAATCAAATTCTATGCTTCAGAGTGAAAATAGGTTGTCTAGAGGATGAGGAAAATTTTTTGCATCATTGGACAATTGGGTAGGTGCATTATGGAGGATATTCATTTTCTTCTGAAACATCTGCTAATAGCTGCTGCCACATATTGGACTTTATAGGTACCAGTGGATTCATCCATTGGATTTGCCATATTGGTTTTTTTCAGAGGTCAAAATTCACCGCCGTTAAGCCAGCCTTGTCTGTGAAGATATTCTTGAGAAGTCCTCTTAAGTGTTAGCATGCATTTTATACTCCTATTCCAGCTGCAACAATGTTAACCCCATTCTTTTTCACAGATACATAACTAGCCATTGTC